GGATAACAAAATAATACTTGCTTCACCCAAACAAGGCAAGAGAGGAGATCAAGGGTCACATAAGCAGGTGGGACAAACAGACTGTGGACTAAACACTCATTCGAAGCCAGATGACGAACGTGTGGCGGGTGGAAGGACTCAGAAAGCCTGAAGTGAAAAGCTGGGGAAAGCTGTCCAAACACCAGACACCACAGATTTGAAGGCAAGAGGAGCTACTAGAGAAAGGGGGCTGTTTCATGAATTCTTAGAAGCACCCTCGGGGCACACAGTACAGGCCTGGCTGTGGGCAGGCAAGTGGGCCAGGGAGCAGTATGGTCGTGGGCCAGCACTTGCTTTTGACTTCCTGCCTTCTACTCAGAGGCCCAACTCCAGGTCACTATTTTAAGGAAATTATCAAAGATCTTGGGCAAAAATCCATGTTAAAAGAAACTCATTGGAGTGTTGTTTAGGGAAGCAAAGGACTGGCTCAAATCAAGATTAATAAGTTACGGTACGCTCATCCCATGGAGCATGAGGCAGGCATAGAACTCACCTTCTCAGTACCTGGCGACACGGGAAGGTCCCCTACTGCTCACCTTGTCGTCGGCCTTGATGGAGCGCAGCCGCATGGTGAGCTGGAAACGCAGGAAGTTGTTGGTGCCCATGGACTGCAGCTCCAGCAGCTTGCACAGTGCCACCAGCTGTGGCCGTGTGAGGTTATCCAGGGTCAGCTCGTCCTCAAACAATTTGGAAAAACGAATGATTTCCTCATTGCTGGGTCTCTCCCCGGTCTCTCGGATCTGTAGGAGCAATGCTAAGTGTTACCCACAGTAGGGGCCTGTTCTCCAGAGTGTGCACAGGCGCGCGTGCACACGCACACGCACACACACAACCCCTCACAGGCTCAGGGGCCACTTGGCCCAAGCGAGGACATGAGGAAGACAAGTGGGAGTGCCTGGACCATCAGGCACAACCTCACAGCAGCCCCTCAGACTCGAGCCTCGAGGGCAGCCCGGACCGCAGGGCATGACTGGTAACCAGAAGAGGCGCTGGGCCTCTCACTGCTGGGCAGGAGGCCCTGCAACCCTCTCCCCAGCTTGGACATGGCTGTGGAACAGCCTGTGGTCTGTCCTCTCCTCCGCCCGGCCCCCATGCTTGTCACACTGCAGGGTTTCAGGTTCCTCATTTGCCAAACTCTCCCTCCCCCGGAGCTGCTGCAAAGTTGGAGACACAGGTAAGTACCTGAATGTCAGCAGATTCAAGTTCTCTGTACAAAGGCTCAACCTCACCGGTGTGGAGGGAGCCCCCCATAAACCCCTGGGTGGCAGTGGCCACCAGCATAGCAGGGCCTCTGGTGCCCATAGTAGAGAAGGGAGAATGGCAATGAGGACCGTCCCCAGGGAAGGGAGGTGGCCCGAGGCTCTAACCAGCACTAAGGACCAGTGGGCTGAGGTCACGGGGGCTCCGAAGCATCAGGGCACCTTCTGGAAAAACAAGGAGAAGTCCCTGGTGGCGTTCCCCTTGGCAGCCTTATTCTTCAGGGCCATCTCCTCAAGGGTGTCCTGGAGGAACTTGGCCAGCTCCAGCTTGACCCGCAGCTCCTTCTTCAGCCTCTCCTCCTGCGGGAGACAGGACATTGCACTCCTCTGCCCAGAGCCCCCTCACGGGGGGCGTGCTGGACCCTTCTCCTCCAGCTCCTGGTCTCAGACACACTGCAGGGACCCGGAGCAGGGCTGGCCAGGAATCCACACATGGCTGGGCAGGTGTGTCCCCAAAGACTGAAACAGGCAGGGTCCGCATGGCTGGGGCCCCATCCCACCCCACGAATGGGTCTTGGCCCGGCCTGGAGACACGGATCTAGGGAAACCTTGTTTTCACACACGTTTAAGAGAAACAGACCCAAACCCCCACATCTGGTAAATACTCCTAGCATGGCTGACGGTCACGCAGGACACAAAACTTGAAAGCATCTAGTGCCTGACGTGTGGCTATCACCTTGATGGACTGGGTCTCGAATGTGGACGGCAGCATGTTGGGGAAGAGCTTCACAACCACAGGCAGCAGGAACTCCATGAAGGGCACCACGATGAAGACCAGGAAGGGCACCAGGCGGAAGAGGTCAGCACAGATCCGGAGAAACTGCAAAGAGCAGCGTGGTCAGAGGTCACTAGTGGCACGACGTGTGTGGCTGGGAGCTCCAGGCCATAGATGGCCCAACAGACAACTCCCGGGGGCCATCACTTTCTGCGGGGCCTTCTGCAAAGCTGGCTGGGAGCTAACCCCAGGTGTGGAGTGGAACCCACACCACTGGGTGCCGCCAGGGCCCTCCCCCCCGAAGCACTGACCAGGGACCATGGGGTCCTGCTCTGTGGAAAGAGGTGAGGCAGACACAGTTGATGACAGCGACAGGTGGGGACTAGTCCTTGCTGGGAAGGCTGTGGCCAAACCACCCACCCCGAACGCTGTGCCTCTCTCTGGTTTCTCCTGAGATGGTCAGATTGAGGACTATACAACACAGCAATCACTAGAAAAACAATCCGAGTGCTTCATCAACATGAACACACTGCTGCCGATGCCATTAAAGAAATGGAACCTGGAGGTGATCAAAAGCCCCGGGCACAGGCAGCAAAACTTCCTCCCCATGCAGTTACCACCCAGTGTAACGCTGCTTCCACTAAAACTGCCGTGGCTCCGAGGGCCGCAACCGTGCTCCCCTCCAAGTCCTCACCCCGTGGACAAGCAACGCCACAGCAGAAACGTCTCTCCGGAGGGCGGGGCAAGGACACGTGAGGAAACCCTTGGAGGCCCCACTACCACCACCTTTCTCCCTAAATCACGCATCCATGGTTCTTCCAAACCAGTCTCTATTCCAATGCCCCCAGCACACGACTTCCTAATGAAGCCCCCCCAACGTGTTGGCTCTGCCCTCTCCTGCACGCATTCTCTATCTATCATGAAACAGGCTCACAGCCCCACAGTCTTTGTGAGCTTATAGCTCACTCCTGTTTCTAGTTTATGCTCAAATGGTCCCAGATTTGGTCATGGAAAGACCCTTCAAATGGGTGCCTGTGTGTTATGACATATCTACGTTAACATTTTTAGCAGTTCTACTGACGTTTAACTTATTACCATAACATTCACCCATTTTAAGTATATAATTCAATGATTTGGGTTAAATTTCCAGATTGTAAGACCATGGCCAAAATCCAGCTTTAGCCTTTCCGTGATGCCAAAAAGTTCCACAGTGCCCATTTGTAGCTCACCACCATTTCCCCCTCAGCCCTAGCAAACAACAATTTGATGTACTTCTACAAATTTGCCTTTTCTGGACATTTCCTACACGTGGAACCGTACAACATGCTCTTTCAGGTCTGGCCTAACTATTGGTGCATAAACAAGCCAGTCACAAAAAGAAAAGCACTGCATGATCCCACTTACACAAGGTGACTAATGTAGTCAGATTCAGAGACAAAAAGGAAAATGTGTGAGGAGCAGGGAAGGAGGGGGCACTGACGTCCAACAGGGACAGTGTGTCAGTTTGGGGAGATGGAAAGAGTCCTACAGACAGATGCGGTCATGGTCACACAACAAAAATGGACTTTGTGCCACAGAACTATATCTCTAAAAATGATTAAAATAGTAAAACTTAGGTTGTGTATTTTACCACAGTGAAAAATAATTCCACCTATAATAGCACCAAAAGGTAGGAAACCACACAACACTGCTGGGAAACATGAAAAACGCCGTTTTGTACCCCTGGCCAGTCGAGGTTCTTCTCGAGCCTCTCGTGTTCTGGCACAGTCCCATCCTGTCACACTGCCTCTCAGTCCTGGCCAGCTGTGCTTTCCAAGGAGCCCTGGTTCCTCTTCATGGGGGCGACCAGAAGCTAAGGGCTGGCAGCCAGGTGTGCTCATTGCTATCAGGGTGTCGCTGCCACTAGGCCTGGTCACCAAATTGAAAGGGGGCAGAAGGTTCAACAGTAGGAAGGATCAAGGACCAGATAAGAGCCATTGAACAAAACCTCACTAAGTCACAAAATACCAGATTAATTCCTGGGACTCATAAGGAAGCTGCACAGTGACATTCAACTCTTAGGATCACTGTGTGATGAAGGGTCAACCTTCGAGTGCTGCACCTCAAGAAAGCTCCTCAGAGACCGCCCTGGAGGGAGAGGCCCTGGAGAGAGAAGCCGTGAGCACAGGTGGAGACAGAGACCTGGGCTCCTACCATCCTCTGACTAGACCACACCTCCTCTACAGTGGGCCGGCCCTCAGGCGCACACTGTCCTAAGGTGTGTGAAAGAAACCTAGGCTAACCCGGGCAAGAACTAAGGCTTATTCCGAGACAGTCTCCTACACAGCCACTTCACATGCTTGTCCAGGCAGTGCAGGCACACCGTGACTTCCCTCAGCATCACCACCTGCTCCTGTCACTGTAATGCACTTGGTGTGGAAGCTGGATCTCCTGAGTCAGGGGTGGGCATTGGGGGACAGAAACCCTCCTTGCACTGAGTACTGCAGGTCCTGGTTCCAGAGTCAATGCCTCTGTTCCACAGAAGCCCTCACGTGTCCTTCTCTAGAACATGACGAGCCAGCATTCAACAGTTATATAAACTTGAACTCACATTTCAAATGCACCTTCCACTTCAATACTTACATAAACTTTATATATTTTAAAACTTCTAATGTGTTTTTTTCTTTACCTTTGTCAATATCATAATTTTAAGAGTCACTTCTCTGTGATGATCAAGATCACTAACACTTTGTTCAAATTCACATTATCTATGAAGCCCCAAACCGAGAAAACAGCAGCACAGCTCCACAAACCCTCTTCTCAACGCTGACAGCAGGGACCAGCCACCACAACCTCGGTCCGTGCAACTGGGACTTACTCAGCTGCTCCAACTTTTCCTTAGCAGCTCACACTGTCTTCAATGAAGTAGCGAAAACCCTGTAACTTCCACAGCAGAACGGGACAGGGAGGGCAAGAGTCCTGAGTGCTACAGCATCGCCTCGTCACTGCCCAGAAGACAATGTGCTCTGTAACCAATGTCCAGGAAATACTAACAGGATGACCCTGAGATTCTAGTCCAACTGTTCTTTCTTCAAATTTCCCATCTGCATCCTTCTAAAACAGCTTCCCTTGGAAGATTCCAGCCAGTTAAACCACCTGTGTTGTCAATGAAATTCTTAAGAAAGAGTAAAAAATCAGAAGCCAGTTACTCTCACAGGTTAACGGCTAATTCCCAAGGTGTTGGTCAGTGCCCCTTTTCTCACAAAGGAACTCTCTGCTGGCTGACTCTGAGGGAAGGGGCCCTTCTGTGCCTTTCCTTGGAGGACCTTAGGGCACTGAGAGCGAGAGCTGCCCCTTGTCCCCTGGGACTCAGCAAAAAGAAAAGAAACAGGGAAGGGGGAGGAAAAGCTGACAGTACGACTGTCAGTGACTTCTTTCAGACCCAAGTAAGAGAGCAGGTCTGGGCACCTGGGAACCGGAGAGAACCCTTGGAGGCTGTGCACCAAATGCCTACCGCAAGCTCCAGAGAACCGAGCGCGACCACCCTGCAGTCCGAGGGGAGGAGCACAGACCCCGACACGGAAAAAAAATGAGCCCAGAAGGACACGCACAGCCCAGCAACGAGCCAGACACAGTCCACCGCCAACAAGTGCGATTCAGCAGACGGGGGTCTGGGGTCTGCCCCACAAACGCCCGAGCTTGGCCCCCCACGCGCAGAGGGCGCTTTACCTGCCTGCGCTCGCGGCGGGTCAGCACATGGCCGTTGAGGATGCGCCACAGCATGCGTGCCGCGATCTTGGTGTCGATCCAGAGCAGGCGGAAGCCATGGTAGTAGTGCTTCAGCTCGTCCACCACCCTCTGCCGCAGGGGCTTCTTCTCGGTCACCTCCGCGGGGGGGCTGTACACCGGGCCGCCCTCCTCCAGCTTCTTGTTCTTGTCCTTCAGGGACTTGAGTGACTTCTCCACTACGGAGTCATCGCCCAGCGGGGCCGACGTGTGCCAGCTGCGCACGGGCAGGAACTGCGGCCCTGGGACGAGCCGGCCTACAGAGGCCGGGGCCCAGGGCACTAGGGCCACTGCACACGCGCGCTGGGGCCATAGCGTCCAACAGCCCAGGGGGTCGCCTCCAAGGGAAAGGTGCCTGGGGTGGCCCGGGGAGCAGCCGCCCAGAGGAACGTGCCTGGGAAGAAAAGAGAGGAAGACTGATGCCTCTGACCTCCCACCTCTCTCAACTGCACCCCCAAGCTTCCCAGTGTGTAAAACAAACTCCCCACCGCTTCCTGATGTGAAACCCACCCAGGAGCCCTTCCCCTCCAGAGCTGGGGTGAAGGAGCTGCCCCACGTTCCAGAGCCACAGGAGCTGGGGGCCTCAAATGGGCAGGGTGGACACAAACACAACCAGCAAAAGCTTGACCCTGAAACAGGCCCAACTCTGGTGGTCTCCAAGGCCAGTTCCCACAGACTTTGAGAATTTGGGGGTGGGGGGTGGAAAACAAAGACCTGCAATTCTTGAGCAAGTCCTGACAATCAGGAGGGTGCTCGAATCAGCAGTGGTGACCCAGACCCGTGAATCGGCCGCCCAAAGGTGTTTGTGCAAAATGGGGAAAAAAATTAAGGCCCAAAGTACATTTCCTCCCGCTCTGCCCCTCACTGCTCACTCTGCTCTGCGCTGGCCTCCTCACCGGAGGCACACAGCGAGCACCATGCTCATTCAGGCCCCGTGCCCTGCGGCCCTGTCCTCCTAGCCCGGGACATACTCGAATCCATCGCACCCAGTGTGTCTCCACTGGATGGGGCTCTGCTAGGCGCAGTGGAAAGCCACAGGGCCTTCTGTAAGTGAGCACTCAGCACCCTCTGCGAGGCCCACAGGGCTGCCCGGAACCCTGCAGCCAGCGCAGGCCAGTCTGCTCTTCTGGGCCCTATGCAGCTGTATCCTTGGTGTCCACCCACAAAATGGCTTTGCAAGGAGGGCCACTGCAGCCTCAGTGTCTGGAGCAGGGGCCATGCCACCCTCAGCTCTTGGTGCCCAGCCAGAGCCTGGCACAACCCAGGGTCTGTGCTTGATAAAGAAATCCTCTTTCCACTGCAGCAGAGATGGACATGTCTACAATGCAACGCTGGGAGAGCCCGGCCGGCATGGCTCAGCGGTTAAGCATCGAACTATGAGTCAGGAAATCATGGTTCGAATCCCGGTCAGGACATATACCCGAGTTTCGGTTTCAATCCTTAGTAGGGGGCGTGCAGGAGGCAGCCGATCAATGACTCTCTCTCATCATTGATGTTTCTCTCTCTCTCTCCCCCTTCCTCTCTGAAATCAATAAAAACAGATTAAAAACAAAAAATGGGACAACTGACCCATACAGTCCTCTTTCAGTTTCAGTCTTCTACTCATCTCACCTGCCACTAGAAACCTCACCCTGGTCATGTACACATACACCTCTAGGTGGCCACAGGCTCCAGCTTACTTCAGAGGCACACCCCATCTTCTTCCCACCTGTCATCCCTCTGCAGCTGGCTTGCCACTGGCAATGAGGACCTGAGCTCTGGAGCAGACCGTTCAGTTCAAGTAGCTCCACTACTTATTGCTGTGTGACCTTGGGCAAGTAACCTAACCTCCCTGTGCTTTGAGAGCATCTTTTGTAAATGTATGTGCTAATACACTTTGTAATAGTATCTGGCGCATAGCAATACCCAGCACAGAAGTGGTAGCTATTACTGTCCCATCAAAGCAGTTGAGAAGCCACCAATCGGGGCTGGAAGAAAGCTGGGAAATGCCTGGTTTAGCTGCTCCTCTTACCGATGAATACTGAAGGACCCACTTGCAGCCTGTAGTGGGCAGGTGCAGCTGGCATAAGGCGCTGCTCCCCCCCCCACTGACCAATCTCTACCACCTCTCTTCTGTCCTGAACCCCTGCTCCTGCCTTCAAAAGCACAGGGCCAGTCCTGTCCCACGAAGGGTTCCTCAAACCCTCCCTGTCCTGACAGTCACAGGCCCCAAGGGACAGGCTACAAGGAGCACAGCAGAGGAGCTCAGGTTGTCCCTCGACCACCTGCAGCTGTGAGACTGGCCACAGCCTATGCCTCTGTGCCCCAGCCTCATCACATGGTGCAGCAAGGACAGTGTCCACACACAGATCAACCTTACTCCTAACCTCACAAGCTTAAGTATCCAATTTCCAACCCTCCATTAGCAAGGAAGCAAGTGGCCTCCATCAGCAGTCTCAAGGGGCAGCCAATAGGCACGGACAAACATGTGAAGTCAGACTGAGCTGAGGAACACACAGTGTGCCCGTCAAGGGCCTCCGAGGCCAGACCTGCTGCCGTGACGCACGTTAGAGAGATCACTACCAACACACTAGCCCGAAAAGGTCAGCTCTTTTCCAAAGCATGAAAATTCCCATCCAAACTAACCCAGTCTGGGCACTGCCACCTTCCGGAGCAGCTGGGACAGATGGCATCATTGATAAGGCCGCCCAACCCCACCGAGCACCCGCATCCTGGGAAGCACCGCTCCCTCGCCTGCACGCACCAGCAGCTTGGCCTCCTACCACCCAGTCACCACACCTGCTCCTGAACCTTTTTTCTTTCCTTCTCCCTTTTTAAAAATAGGTCACTTTCTAATCAGGGGGAAAAATCTTCTGGGTGAAAGCAACATGTCAACAAGAAACACATGGTTACCAGAGGAAGGCCCTCTGGGTCATACTCAGAAGCTTGGGGGCTTCCATTAGTTGCTGTTTTACTTTAGGATGCTGGCTCAACCCTGGCACCTGGCTGTCCCTCCAAGAAGGGAAAGACCAAGCAGTGCCTGGCAGAGCAGTGCTCACAGTGCCAGTCACACAGCCACCAGACACAAGCACAGGAGGTGGGCACCCAGACTCTTCTCAGCAGCAGCACACCCTGACTTTAAACAGCTGTGAAAATGCCACAGGCACAACGCCTGCAGCCACTGAACTCCTGGTAACACGTCTCCTTGAAAGAGTCAGTGCATCAAGACAATGGCCTGGGGCCGGAGGCCACCATCTCTCAGGGACACGACAGCAGCAGGGCAGTGTGATAGGAGCAGTGCAGTGACTGAGGGGACTGTGCCAGAGTGCAAAACGCCTCTCTCACCTCAGCCAGGGAACCGGAGCCCACCACCCACAGCACCTCCACACCTAAGGAGGCCTGAGGCCCCAGGACAGCCAGAGGAGCCATGTGCAGGGAGCACCTGTCACCAACATGTTAAGCTCTCTGCAGCCAATCTGTGAGCATCACACTAATGAGACGTCAGGACACACAGCCTCCCTTCACTCGGGTTCCCCACTGGGCGAGGTCTCAAGGCCCCCGCTATCGTCTGCTCACTCAGAGCCTGGGATGCCTCCTCTCTGCCTTTCTTTCTGGAATAAAGAGGTCCAGAGTAGCCAGGCAGTGTCCACGATGTTGTCTTGGACCAGCAACTCCACTTCCTCCCGTCAGGGGTCTGGACTATTTAAACCGAAGACTGAGATCATAAAACAGCCAATAGGAACGGCCACCACTTGCAGTTACTCATCTGTGTGGCTCAAGGTTTCTTACGCTGTGCGGTTGAAAGGAAGAAAACTTGGGTGCTGAGAATGACGTGATTTGACTCTCATCTATGATTCCTAATCTGAACTGTACGAGTTCAGCAAAACAGCTTTTAGTTCTCCTTGTTTGATTCTCTAAAGAAAGTGTTTAACTCTAAAAATTGTGAACTTATAAAAAAGTTGTACTAATGAAGCTGCTTGTTTTCAGTCCTTACCTGATATTTTTTTTCCATTGATTTTTC